ACCTTGTCTGCCTATGTCCTTAGACCAACATGGCTACAAACCTATACCCAAGCGAACTTTACAGGAACCTCAGTGCAGCTCAAGTACAGGTTCCAGTTTCCCCTTACCGTCCATCCATGGATCACCAGGAAGGTTTTGCTGGTGTGGTTAAAGCTGCAGTGTGCCAGTGAGTCTTTTTGGCCAGGTACCAAGTAGCAGATGTCCTCGTCGGGTATGGCAGGTGTCCTTAAAGAAAATTTGCTCTCAATCCCCTCAAAGATTCTCCCCGTTTCTGGGGTAGTTCCTGGAATTGAGAAAGAATAATGGAAATGGATATGTACAAATTCTGGTTTAGGAAGATGCATAATAAAAATCTTACCAACCTCCTGATGGGCAATAGTCTAAAACAGTCAGAAGGGAAGGAGCCTCATTCTACATATATACTCCTTTACACTATTCTGGCCGTGTAAGAGGGCCTCTGCATGGGTGTAGATTTCTATAAAGACCCCTTCCCCAGTCAGAATAGTAAGCATATAATTTGCTCACTTATTACATAGGTACATATTTAACTTTAGGAGGTTGCATCTTCTCCATTACACGATTCATGAAATGGAATCAGTGAGCCTGAAAAGCAATGAGCACTGCCTTATAGAAAACTGCCCAAGAGCATCAAAAGTGCATGTGGAGGAGGAAATCACTCAGCTCGCTACAAACTTTATCACATATTAATGATGAATCTTCCCCTTTCTGTAATGAAATTCACTTAAGCAGTAAGAAACTGTGGGGTTTTTTGCTAATTCACTGCAAGCAGCTGTGGCAAAGTCATTCTCTCTTCTATGATGCGGGTGTCTAAGCTTGCTCTGACAAAAGCAGTTAGAAAGAAGGTCAAAAAAAATATCAGTCTTTGGAATTAAAATGAACTAACAAAACAAAATCCATGTTTCAAAAACTATACTAATTTCAGATAATCTGATAATCACCTTTCTAAGAAAAGCTGCTCTCTGTCTAAGGTTATCTCCAATCCAGCAAAGAGATGTCTTGCCAATATCATACCATGCACCGTGCAATGCCAGCTAAAAATCACTTCTTGGTTGGAGTCAAACCTCCGCATTCAGAATTAAAAAGTAAATTGCATTAAGATTCACAAGATAGAGGAATGTGAGAGGCATTCGGATTTTACACTCAGTGCAGTCTTAAAATTATACTAAATCACTGCCTTTTGTTATAGCCATTTCCTTCATTGTCTGGAGTATATTCTGACAAGTTAATGTCGTCTTTTGCCATCAGTCCATCCTTATTCACTTAAGGATGCTTTTTGGCTTTGCTGAACAGGGAGGAATTTAAGCATATGGTTAAATGCTCTCCTGATCTGCAGCCCTATTTGGCCAGTTTCCATCTAGCAAATATTTATGCCTCTTTTTCCTAATGCAACAAAAGTTAAATCGAACTATGTTCTGTTTACTTTTCCGTTTACCAGTGTCTTACCAGCAGGGTTTCACAAAGACCTGAGGATAAATTAATTAGTTGCTCTAAACTGGCATATGCGATCAAAAAGAAGACACAAATTATGGTCCTTAGTAAGACCTACATGAATAGTGGCCATCTTTGGATTGACTTTCATGACTGAAAGATGATTTTGTAGAAGAAATATTATTAATTATAGGAAAATATTTCTCACCTGTTACGTTGGGGGGGGGGGGGGGGGCGG